TTCCTGCTTTTAAATAAGCTTTTTAAATAATCTTTATTTCTGAGTGGGTGTTTTTAACACCAGAATACTAAAAAACCTGTCCCTGATCCCAGAATTCAGAATGCATGTCGGAAATAACATTTGTCTGTTGTCAAAACCATGCCACTGGAAAGAGATGACCTTTCCTGTTTCATACTGGGGAAGAAGTGTTATGATATGGTTTGTTTTGTTCCTAGATGATTCACATGTTCCTAGTACAGTTTAATTGATGGGTATAATGTTTCCCAGTGTGAGGCAAAAGGACAAGCTGAGTTGTATTTTCATTATTTTAGTCAGAATAGGCTACATAGGTTTAAATGGGTCTGATTTCTGTGACTTTCAAGAAGTACAAGGTGTGTATTATTTATCTCTCCTTAAGGCCTTCAGTTCCCTCTTTTTTGTTACCTAGGACATTTTGCAGCTGAGGATGTGAAAATCAAATTGAATGAGCTAAACCAGAAATGGGACTCTCTGAAAGCTAAAGCATCTCAGCGCCGGCAGGACCTCGAGGATTCCCTGCAAGCTCAGCAGTACTTTGCAGATGCTAATGAGGCAGAATCCTGGATGAGGGAAAAGGAGCCCATTGTAGGCAGTACAGACTATGGAAAAGATGAAGACTCTGCTGAGGTATTTAGTTTGTTGTTTGGGTCAGTTTTACATAAACACAGTAAGGATTTGTCCAGTGTTAAAAATGTAAGGAGTGCTGCTAATGACAGAATTCTTAAGGGGAAAAAAGGCAGAACATTCTTGTGTCAAGCTAAATTTTGGCTCAGGGTCAAAAGATGACAGTTTTTCCTGTCTCTTAGTTATTGCACATGAAATTTTGCTCTTCAGGATATTAAACCAATTGTGAGGAAAGTTCACATATTTATGCACTTCTTTATAGCCTTTTTGTTACATATAATGAGACTAATACCAGCAAATTCCTCATTTTATGTTGTATTTCAGTGCAAGTCTGATTTTCAGCAGTTCATTGGTCTGGAAGTAATTTTTTTTTTTTGTCTGGAGTTACTTTCCTTGTATCGTTCTGTGGCCAAACACCATCTCCCAGACACTGCTGAGTGACATTTCATCAAATTGAAGTGCAGTTTAAAGGCATACTTTCAAACGTAACACTATTTCCAGAGTGACATGTGGCATTCCTAGTCACAACAAAAGAATGTTTCTGAGATAAGGTAGGGGAAAAAGCACCAGATGCATTTGGACTACTATCTAGCCTGTGAATAAATAGAAGTAGTTATTCTCATGGGAGTCACAAGACCAGCAGCTCTGAAAAATTCACATTGCCTCTGTATGGAGCCAAAGTATGTATTTTAAGCAGAGTAACATTTGTAAAATGGCTTAAGTGTACCTGTGGTTTTTATCCTTTCACTTTCAGGCTCTTCTGAAGAAACATGAAGCTTTGATGTCTGATCTTTCTGCTTACGGCAGTAGCATACAGGCATTAAGGGAGCAGGCCCAGTCATGCAGGGTAAGGAAAGGTGCTAATCATGTTGCTAAAAGCCTTGGGTCAGCATAAGGTAAAGGCAAAGCTTAATAACAGTTGGCTTGAGAACTTATTGTAGACTATATTTGGTTTTCTCAAAATCAGTGGTCTGTTTTTATGTTCATAGCAGGCGGCTATGTTGCATTGGAAGAAAACAGTATAATGTGGTTTTCAAGGTTTGAGCCCAGACAGCACCTAGAATATGTCTCTCTGCATTACATTTCTTTATTTAAGAATAATTTTAAGGCACTACAGTAGCTTTCCCTAAAGCTAAAGCATTTTTAGGACAACTGTATTGATTGGAATAAATGTGAAACAACTAATTTTTCTTCTGCTCCTTCATCGTTAGCAACAAGTTGCTCCCACAGATGATGAAACTGGGAAAGAGCTTGTTCTGGCACTCTATGATTACCAAGAGAAGAGTCCCCGGGAGGTGACTATGAAAAAGGGAGATATCCTCACCTTACTCAACAGCACCAACAAGGTATGCTCTTGCCTTCTGGTTTGCTGAGCTGCTTGGCTCGCTTGGTTTTGTATGTTCCAAAGAGCTTTTTTGGTTGTGAGGTTTTGTTGGTTTGTTTGGCTTTTTTTTTTTTTTTTGAAGAGCATTCAGAGAAGGTAAGAATTTGCACATATTTAGCCCCTGTTCCTATTCAGCACTTCAGCTTACCTCTTCAGCTTATTCTCACAACTTCTGTATAGCTGCAAGCTTTTCTAAGTCAAATAAACAACATACACTCTAAGGCATGTGTCTGTGAGAAAACTTACTCTCCTACTGTTAAGGAGTTTTTAACCAAATGCCAGGGGAGGCATGGAAGTAACACCTGTAGGTCTTCAGGAGACAGTTTGAAATGATCTCCATAAAAAGAGCAAACTATTGTGAAGATCACTGTTTTTCTTGTGTTAACAGAAGCCTCTAATGTGCAGCTTTCAGTTGCTCAGCATACTTATGCTTGGTGCTTGCCTCACAGCATCTGCTTTCTGTTCTTTTCTTTCCAGGACTGGTGGAAGGTTGAAGTTAACGACCGTCAGGGCTTTGTACCAGCTGCCTATGTGAAAAAACTAGATCCTGCCCAGTCTGCATCCCGTGAGAACCTCCTGGAGGAGCAGGGCAGCATAGCACTGCGACAGGAGCAGATTGACAACCAGTAAGATCTAACTGATGAGATACGACACCCATCCAGCATTTGCTGGCTTGGGCTTTGCCTTGCCTATGCCAGAACTTTAGGGTGATGTCTCTTCCACTAGGGAGTAATTAATTGGAGCAGAACAAAGGTCTCCTTTACCAAGCGCACTGTATTCAGTTGGTTTATTCTTATTCTAGATTTTCTTGTTGCTTTCCCCATTTTTTAACTGTAAAACTCATGACACTAGAGCTCAACTTGCTGTCTGACTTGAGTTTTTTATGTGTTCCTTTTGTTGTTGTACCTAACAACTTAAACTTGTTTGTGAGTTATATCTGTCCTAAGCAGCTCTTGTATTTGTAGTTGTCACTGCTTAATGTGTGATCTGTTTTGAAAAGCTTTCTTAAATTCAGTTACATAAGTACAGTACCCTCCCTATACAGGGCTGCCTCTGGAGGTGACCTCCTTAGGAGCTGTGACTACTTTTGTGCTAGCTCATTACATTTTTTCCCTGAAATGTGGTGCCATTATTTGTTGCCATTATGTGGGCTAAAACATGCCACCCTCTTTTTGTTTTTCTTCTTCTTTCTTTTAAAAGAGGAATGTGTCATTGCAAGTAGAGAAAACTGCGTGGCTGCCTGGTAATGACCTCCTAAAGCACATGGTAGTTGTAGATTAGTTCAAGCAAGGGCTGTGGGTGATAGCTGTGAGCTACTGGCTCATCTTATCAAGCCACTTGGAAGCCAGAGCTGAAAGTTTTATGCATACTCCCATCTGTTTGCACAGCTATGCTGTCATTCTACATGAGAATTTCTTCCCACTCACTTGTTTTGAGTCACCAGTTATTACAGTGACATACAGTAATTACTAGGTTTAGCTCTAGAATTTAAAAGAAAAAACAACCACAGAACACACATGCCACCACACCCCTAAAAAAACTCCAAACTTTTACTAGTGAGAGGGATGCTAGAAAACTGTGGCACACTGTTCAGGATTTTAGTAGTGTGCAACTTTCTGTATGGGTTTCCATGCTGCTTTTAAGAACTAGAACAGAGGTGCCTTATTTTAAAGCCAAGGAGAGGAGACCACCCTTTGGTTTACAAACACATGGCACAATGATCAGGAAACGAGGAGACCTTATAGAGAGAGTTCAACTGTACTGCTGAGGTTTCTTTATGTGAATTGTACTCCTGGTCTGATTTGCTTTGTTTGCTTCTGAACAACACCTAATTTTCTCCATTTAAATGTGAACTCTTAACCATCTCCTACCACAGACAACCCATGGATGGAGCTGCTGCTTTCATTATTTTTGTTAATCTGACTAATTTTTCGCATGCATTTGCTGTGCTCCCTCTGTCTGTGCAGGACTCTCATAACTAAGGAGGTCGGCAGTGTATCTCTGCGTATGAAACAGGTCGAAGAACTGTGAGTAGGATCAGCCCTTTCTAAACCGTGCTGTCTCCATGCTGTCACTGTCATCCTCCCTTTGTTTCTTCCTTCCTTTGGGAAAGCTGCTCCAAAGAGATGTGAAGGAAACAATTTCTGCCGTGTGAATGATTTTAGTTTAGATGAGTGTCGTGGGACGTGTTTCATGTGTTCTTTATAGCCAGCCAGCTGCTTGTCTTGTTGGTCACCCCTGTGCTGCAGAAGTGGTTGATAACATTTTCCATTATGCTGAATTTGTTTACCAAATGAGGCTTTAGTGATATCTAGACTGCTTTCTTTAAAAAGTGTCTCTTGCATTTTCTGAGATGCAGAGAGTTTGTTTATATAAATATATATATACATACACCAAGTATTACGTTACATATGAACATCTTAAGAGTTGGAGTTATTATATAAAGTAACATTCATGCTGGGTAGCCAAAAAGCTTTAATTTATTTCTGTAGGATGATTGTGCTTTATTACAGCATTAACTTAAAATTAAGTTAATTAAGCTAAAACTTCTGTTCATGTCTTCTGGAAAAAATTCCAAGTTTGCATTATGGTCTTGGAAGTTGCTGGGAGATGCAAAGCAATAGTGTTCACTGGCTGTGCCCTGACTGTCTTTTCGTAGAGAATATATTTATTGGGAATTAAAAGTGAAAGTATTATGTTAATCTCTGAAGTGTTGCAAAGCAGCTTTGAGGTAAGGTCTGCTTCTACAGGAATTTTGCCTCAGAACCTCTGAGTTTCACAGGTGTTTAATACCTACCATTGTATGCTGAGGCAAACATCTGCAATTGGTGCAGGCTTCAAAACAATGTTTTCCTCAAGTCCAGGTAGAATATGTCTATTCCAACATCCTATGAAAGATTCTTAATTTCTTCCTATCCAGTCTTAAACCAGGATAGACAGGAAATGACAGATTCTCTGCTTCCACAGTAAGAGTTGATTACCAGTTTGGTGTATAGACATTACGACCCAGGGTATCTAGGACTTTGTTTGACAGACTTTGTCACCTCTGAGTTACTGGTTGGGAAGATGCTACGTTGTTCAACTCTTCAAGCTGGGAGTTGTAATTCCTCAGTGGTTGCCTGTGTGCTCCAAGGTGGGAAGTGAAAACATTGTAAGGCTGCCCTTTCCCCATTTGGGGATGCTGTAGGTGTCTCAGCAGCAGCTTACATTATTTGATTTAATAACATCAAAATGGATATCTTTGTCTCTTAGTAATGAGAATCAGTTGCTGTTGTTAATCCCTATAGTAGACCAACGTGCAATCTGACTCAGGATATAGAAAAACCATCCAGGTGCAGCTAGAATATCCCATCCTCTGGAAGACTTCAAGTAGGTTAACAGTAAGAATGGCTATCAAGGGTGTAGCTTTTCTGAATGCAGGTTCTTTAAAAACAGGCATTATGCATTGCTAAAGAGCTCTGTAATTCAGTACCAGTGACTGTCAAACTCCTGTTGGCTTTTGTCAGCAACAGCTTGGGATTGTAGGGTTGTTTGTGGCAAGTTTGTTACCAGCAATCAAACAGAAGACATCAGTTTTCTTGTGGCTTTAAATAAATGGCTGGTCTTCTGAGGTTTGTCTGCTCAAACCAATTCAAACATGTTAGAGGTTTTACTTGGCATTTCTCCTTATGTAAATGGGAAGTAATTTTACTGATGTTATTTGGACTTCCATGAGTATAAAAACAGTATATGTGAAACAAATTTCATGGATTTCCCAGCTGGATATAGTTGTGTTATCAAAGTAAAAACAATTTTTTAAAACATTCATCAGATTTTGCACTGAATAATGGCTAGGTAAGGCATTTATGTCCAAAAGCTGGGAGCTTAGTGGATTTTATTCATCGGATGACAAACTTGATGTGCTAGAGAAGAATACCTCTCAGAAAGTAAGACCCTATGGAATGATTCCTGCACTGCAGTGCTGCTGCAGCTTCAGAGCCTACCCTGACAACCTCAGCTGTGATTTGGGTTTGCTTTTGCCTGGTGAAGTGTTGCATGTGGAAGATCTCATTTTGGTGTGTGTATCCATGCAGAGGAGAAACATGTATGGTTTACATTTACCTGACAGGGTACAAGTAGATCATTCTGTACGAGAAGAGTGTGTAGACCTGCAGGGATTTCCCACATCTTTGGTGATACCAGTGCTTAGTAAAGTACTGTGACTCAGCTCAGTACAGTCTGACTGTCCCCTGCTTCCCTCTTCTGCTTGTTCCAGGTATCACTCTCTTCTTGAGCTGGGAGAAAAGCGGAAGGGCATGCTCGAAAAAAGCTGCAAAAAATTTATGCTTTTCCGTGAGGCTAATGAGCTTCAACAGTGGATCAATGAGAAGGAAGCTGCACTCACAAGTGAGGAAGTGGGTGCTGATCTGGAGCAGGTGGAGGTGCTGCAGAAGAAATTTGATGATTTTCAGAAGGTACGTTGGAGTGACACATAGTGTGTGTGTTCATTTTGGCCATTTCAGGCTTACTGATCATGTATCTGCCGAGCTTTGGAGGAATTTGAGGCACAGCCTTCTGTTATGCTATTCCTCTTCCTTTTTGTTGAAAGGAAAGGTCTGTTTCCATTTGTAGAGTTTTTCCCAAGATAAGAAACCAATAATTCTCTGCTTCAGAGTGCTGATAGGCTTACAGGTTTATTTTTTTTCTCCCCACGTTTGCAATACTAGTTCATTTTTTTTTTTCTTTGCGTGAGGTGTGAAAGAATTACTTGGGCAGATATATTTATTCTGTCCACTTTGGTAAGATTCTGAGCACTGAAATGCAAAGATGAGCACCTTATGCAGTGGAAGAGAGAGTGATTTGATAGCTCTGTGGACATTATTATATTTACAGCTTAAAAGCTGGCTAATGAACAGTTGAGCCAATCTTGTATCATAGGTGAGATGATGACAGCAGTTACTGGATTTCAGTTCTCTTAAAATAATCTAGTGGTTGAAATGAAGATGTGTCTTCTATTAAAATTTTAAGTGCAAGTTCTCCACTGTCTTTTTTAACCAACTTTCTTTTCAGCTTTATGGGGAGCTCTTTGTCGGTCTGTTTGGCTGGAAGAACTTAAGTGTCACAGTAAAATCACTTTTTAAGTTGACCTTTTAGCTAATTCATGCAATAATATGGATGAGAGCTTTTGATCTTGATGATGGTAATGTCATATACCTGACAGTTTAGAGCTTTCTTACATTCCTGACTGTTAATTTACTTTGTGGATGGCAAACTCCACCAGCACATTTCTTTGCTCTATTGGTGCTTGGCACCAGCAGCTGGGGTTTCTTGGTGTGGGCTCTCATGCATGGTGTGTCTGCTGGTAACTAAAGGTCATTGCTGTTTACAAACCATGCATTTTTTGGCACCCTTGGTGTGCCTGCCAGCTTGTTCCACAGGTTCTGCTTGTGTGAATGTTAACACTGTGATATTTTACTGTTCTGTGCAGGATTTAAAAGCTAACGAGTCACGTCTGAAGGACATAAACAAGGTTGCGAGTGACCTGGAGTCGGAGGGGTTGATGGCAGATGAAGTGCAGGCAGTCCAGCAACAGGTCTGCTTTTCCTCTGACTTGGTTTAATCCTCTTGAGAAGCAAAAGACTTTCTTCCTTTTTGTCTGTTGTCTTCTGTTTTGCTTGTCACTGCAAGACTCAAGATGTTCATTTTTGCTCCCTGGTCTGATAATGTTGGTATTCTAACCAGAGATGCTTAATGCCTGTCCTGTAGTGTGGCCATCACAAAGGTACCCTTTGAATTGCTTCTCTTTAAATAGTGCTATAGAAAATTGCACCATCTAGAGCTTTTTTCCTTTTCTTTTTTTAGGAATGGTAGGTCTTTATAATAATATTAAAGTCACAGAGAATCCATGAATTAGCTTTGCTTCATGTAAATTTGAAATTTTCACCTTTATTTCTTTTCAAGAAAAGCAGAGAGGAATGCTAGGGGAAAAGAGAAATAAAACACAGCTCAACTTAGAGTGGAGGGGCTCTGTGGGTTTTCTGGGGCTTTTAGTAACATACCTTTTTTCTCTTTTTGCCAGCTTTTCACATATTTGTGCTATTGTGCATAGAATTGTACAATTCTATCCAGTGCCAACAGAGTATTGAAGCAGTTTATTTTCTGAGCTCTGAGGTGATGTGTTGCAGTAGATGGTTGAGTAGCCAAACTCCCATTTCTGCTACACATGTAGGTTGGCGAGCACTTAATGACATACTGGTAACCAACTTGTAGAAGAAGGGTGGAAGTTTATCTCCTGCTATCTTGCCCCGCTCTAAAACAGTAAAAAC